AGTCACAAAACTCCTACTATGAATGTTTAAGCTTAAAAGATTCATTTCAGAAAGCTATGCCATTTGAATTCTGGGAACACAAGACTCAAAATTGCAACTCTCGTTATTTTCCTAAAAAGCTGCCAAGCAGAGATAAACCTTAGGATTGAGGATCATATACTAATTTTTAGCCCGGTATGGATCGTTCCATGGCAGAATACTTAAATGTGAAAGAACAGTGGTACAAAAACACTACCTGACCCTTTAGGTATTGCAGTAAAAGCTGGCTGTGGCACCACTGGCTAAAAACCATTAAGTCTTGCTGCCACCAATGACCAAAGGCACTTGGATAATCAAGAATTCCACACTGGGCCATATAGTATAAACACTACTATAAAAGTGTAAAAGAAGGGTCAGTCTCTGTGTGGCTCGCCTGCTTAATTCCTGTGGTCTTCAGCTGTCAAACAAAGACCTATAAATACCAACATAATTACGAATGGAAAGAAGACAAAAAATGAAATTAATGGAACAAAAAAGCCAACGAATTGTCATGATGTTTACAAAAATGGTGAACATTAGTCTTCAATATCCAACAAAAACCAAGAAGAAAAAGATTTTGCCCAAAGTTCAACCAATTATTTGATTCCAAATGTCTCCACCCCTCAAGATCATCATTAGTTTTGAGAATTCTAATGGGTATTCTGTTTATCATTTTAAACACACTGTTTGCACACATTCATTTTCCTATGAATGTGCAACTCCCATTCTAAGATAAATCATCCTTGAAATAATACTGCTGGACTTGTATTTGGACCATTACATGGACGCCAAATCATCTCCAACTTGATTTCATTCATTCCTTTAACCAACCTCAGTTCTTAACAATTCATTATATCACAAGCTATGTGGTTTCACCCAATTAACAAGAATTTAACAAGTCAGTTTTTTCTAAACTTTTCATATTCTATCATTTTGTTTTCGATGCTCAGCAAATATAAGTATTAAATTTCAATATGAAATCCTTCCAAATACCTTAAAAATGTTTAAACACTTGTACTTTGCATCTCTTTGTTTGTAATCACTGAGCCCATGAAATTCAAAGCCACAGAAATCCTTGCACTATTAACAGTCAGAAGCCTGAACCTCTTAAAAAATATCCTTGGTCAAAGCTTTGGAATCCAGTTAAATTTAGGGAACGAGTGGGATTCAGAATACCCTGAGCACTAACTAGCCAAACAACCACAAAACATGTTCGAGCTTTAGTCCAGAAGGAGGGGTGGCAGTCAAAAAGGGGGAATAAAAAGCAAATAAAATCTGGTTTTATTACACAAGCACGAAATCAAATTCCTTTGGAAAAATAATGACTTCTTCGGAGGACTTCCAGACCAGTGAGGTAGAGTCCAAAAGGGAGAAAACGGATCTGCCCCTATAGTCCTGGAGACATCTCAGTCTGGGATTAGGAAGAAAAGGGACCTTCCCCTGCGGGTCCAGCTGTCTCCTCGCTCCGCAGACCCGGTGCTGGGAGGCAGCAGAGGACACACCTGCCCCGGAGTCCCAGACTGCGGCGTCGCATCCCGGGGGCGCGGGGCAAAGAAAGCCATCGGGTGTCTTCTTTGCCCATAAAGTGCACTAGGGGACAGGGTCGTAGCCGGATCTGTAAACACTCGACTGACACTTGTTCATTCCTCCAGGCGGAAGCTCCA